CGCGCTTTCCTATTCAAACCATGGATTTGACTCAGGAGCACGACCTCAACATGCTCCTGGACATCATCCGTCAAGAACGTGCAGAGATTGCTCTTGTGCATCTCGCACCGCCGTGCGGAACTGCTTCCGCTGCCCGGTCTGTTCCCGCTCCCCAGTTAGATCGGGTTGGTTTTCGCGCCCCTAGGCCCCTTAGGTCGGTTCAATACCCGATGGGCTTGCCCACTCTCGAAGGCCAGGATTTGCTGCGTGTTACGGCGGCAAATACGTATGCTGCTGTCGGTCGCATAGTTCATGTCGCAACCTCCTTCGACATTCGAGTTACGGTGGAGAACCCGGCCAATTCGTTGGCCTGGCTTTGTGACGGTATGCATGAGCTTCTGTATTACCCAGGTGCATCCGAGGTGCTGTTCGACCACTGTATGAACGGTGGCACTCGTGACAAGTGCACGCGGTGGTGGTGCAATGACCATTTCTTTGATTCCTTGGCACTTCGGTGCTCAAAGGATCACCCGCATGCTTCGTGGAAGCCACGATTCAGTGCTTCAGGAATCGACTTCCCAACGCACCACGAGGCTGCCTACCCCTCCCTGCTTTGTGAACGCATTGCTTCCTTGTTGGCCGATGCTCATCCACATGTGACTGCTCTGCGCCCTCGGCCGGCGACGCAGGTCTTCCTCGACAAGCAGCCTCGCTATGCTCGACCTTTGGTCTCTAACTATGCGGGTTATGATACTTGGGCTGTTCCGTTGCCCCGTGATGCCTGGGCTGATCGTATCCTTCACTTGTATCCCAAGGGCTCAAAGGTGCTGCGACGCAAACTTGTTCCATGGGGCAGAGTGCGGGTTTGCGCCAAGTCAGTTTGTCCATTGTGGGATAGACAGGCGACTGCATCATGGGATGTCACAGTCAAGTTTGCAGAGCCTGACCGGCACGGCGGCATGGAGTTCGACTCGGCGTGTGAGGAGGCTGCCACTCACAAGGTGGTAGCCCTGATTTTTCCAAATGAGTGCAGGCCTACGGATGACATGGCGGAGCTCCTGTGCTTCGGTATTCCAAGGGAGCCTGATGACTTTATCCGGCACGCTGTCATGGCTGGGCACCCAAGAAACCTTCTGCAGGATGCCGTGGATGGGCCTGCCAAGTCTGTGGCTAAGTGTGTCCTGCTTGGCAAGCAAGAGCGGGAGCAGCTAGTTACAAGACGGTGACTGCGTGGAAGGTGATCAAAGAAGAGCGTGCTTCTGACAATGAGAGGCTCCTTTCTCAGGGACCCGATCATATAAGGAAGGTGCTTGCCAATAAGAACGTGCTTTTCTGGCGGGACATCCTGAACTTGCTTGATTTTGCGGATGTGGACCTGTGGAAGGACCTGAAGCAAGGCTTTCGCTTGACGGGGTGGATGCCGGCATCAGGAGTTTTTCCAAAGCGGCTGCGACCACCTGCTTTGACAAAGGATGAGCTCCTGTCTCAATCAGTTTATCGGACCCCTCTCACGGTGAGCTCGATTGCCAAGGGTGCCAATGATGATGTGGCAAAGGCTACTTGGTCGGAGACCAAGGCGGAGATCGAGAAGGGGTGGATTTTCCTTGATGCCTCGTACGATCCTCTCCGCATTATCCTGTCAAGGAGATTTGGGCTGCAACAGCGAGACAAGACTCGCGTGATAGATGACGGCAAGGCGAGTGGTCTTAATCTCCTGTGTGGCTTGATTGAACATTTTACTCTACATGGCGTCGACGTCATTGCTGCGACGCTGATCTGTCTGCTGAAGCTTGCACGAGAACGCAGGGGACGTCTCTTGGGCAAAACCTATGACCTGGTCAGCGCCTACAAGCAATTCCCTGTACATGAGGAAGACAGGAAAGTTCTCCGCACCGGGGTTATGAATACGGACACTGGCGATGTTGCTGTCTTCGGCTCCAATGTTTTAAGCTTCGGCGCTACCGGAAGTGTGGCCGGATTCCTTCGGATTTCTGCAGCGCTGTGGCATGCAGGCGTGCAGGGCTTGGCCATCCCTTGGCTAGCCTACTATGACGACTTTCCAGTCTTTGCTTTCGAGGATGAGGCGGAGTGTGTGGAACGAGCCGCTGATGCCTTGTTCGACTTGATGGGCGTAGAGTACGCCAAGGAAGGAAAGAAGGCGACGAGTTTCGGCACTTCCGTGTCGGCTCTTGGGTTGGTTTTCGACCTTGCTGACTTCTCCAACGGTTGTGTGACGATCCGTCACACAGAGCGAAGGGCTCAGGAGCTGCGGGACACTCTGGGGCATCATCTGGATCAAGGGACTTTGTCGCCCAAGGAGGCTGAGGTGCTGCGTGGCCGTTTGCATTGGTACAGCTCGTATCTTTTTGGGCGAGGACCAGCAGTTGCTATGAAGACCTTGTCTCGCCGTGCTCAGGGGCGAGAAGGTTCTAACTTTGTGAACGACGAGCTTCGCGGCGCGTTGAGCAAACTTCTTGACCATGTTGAGAGCGCACCACCTCTCCGCATCAACGTGGCCTCGGGAAGGACCTTCTTCCTCTTCACGGATGGATCTTATGAGCCATCGGGGGAGGTGGTGGCAGGCATCGGTGGGATTCTCTACGACGATGCAGGCATGCCTGTATCTTTCTTCAGTGGATCAGTGCACCCGTCTGATCTGGAAGCTATGCTTGAGACGTCGTCACATCCCATTTATGAGATTGAGCTCTATGCGGTATTGGCGGCTTTCCGATGCTGGGGATCCTTGCTCAAGGACTCCTTCACTGTAGCCTACATCGACAATTCGGCCGCCCAGGCCGCCTTGGTTGCAGGTTCGTCGGGCACCGACCTCGGTTCGAGGATTGTCGAGTTGATTGGTGAGGCTGAATCTTCAGTGTTATGTCGGCCGTGGTACAGCTGGGTGCCCACTCACTCGAACCCGGCTGATCCACCAAGTAGGGGTGAGGTTGCAGCAAGCAGAATGTTCCACACGCAACGATTGCTATCTGGATGATCGCACTTCAAATGGGATAGATGCGGGTGCGATGGTATGAAGCCTTGTGTCGCTGCTGGTGACCATGTGCTCATGCTTCGCTTTATGGATTGTCATTCAAGAAAACCGTTTCGACCCCATTGCCCTCTTCGGAGGAAAAAAGAAGGATGCATCTCCAGTGTTGCGCGGATTGTATGGAAATCAATATTGGATTTAATGAAGAGCTTTTCAGAATATATTTTTATATCAGGAGAGATATATATATATATATATACTGCGACTACTAATTATCACGGGCCCTATTTGGGGAGGTATGTTGGTTTTTATGGCAGGGTACGCTGCGCGGGTGTTCATTCGGAGGCTTGAAAACAGCGTAGTGCTGCTGCAAGCCGTTCGAAAAAGGTTTGCAGCCTCCAAGCTTTACGCAACTGCATCACACCCAAAAA